CTCCACAAATACTTAACGTCCAAGAGGCCTGGGAGGGTAGGGGTGGCTCTGGAACTAAGTAGTTGGGCTTCCCTGCTGCAGGAGAGCTCCGGAAGCTGCTCGCATCATGGGTGTCGGGCAGCAGTGGGCGGAGTGGGGGCTTTGTGAGGAAGATCACTCCCACCACCACCACCACTGGCCTTGGAGCCCAGCCTCCCCGGACTGCCCAGGGGCTGCAGGTAAGGGACCGGTAGAGGCAGGGGGCGCCCGGCAGGGAAGAGAAAGGGAACTCTTCACACACTGTTGCCCCCACCCCCGACAGGCACAGCTGGCCCAAGCCTTTTTCCACAACCAGCCGCCTTCCCTGCGCAGGACTGTGGAGTTTGTGGCGGAGAGAATTGGCTCTAACTGCGTCAAACACATCAAGTGAGCGTGGGTTCAGAGGGTCGGGAAGGCAGATGTGGAGGGTGCCAGGCTCGTTCCCTTATATTTTCCCCCTTGAAATCTCCTAACGTCGTGTTGCCAGGCTGAGGCAAGTTAGCTTGAGGGGAAGGATGTGGTGGGGAGGCTCAAACTGCTAAAGTTCTTTGAAGTTAGTTCTGACCAGATTTGTAGCCCCTTTCAGATTCAGCCCCCTTAGTTACCTCCAAGCCTTTCTGTCCCTGCTACAGGGCCACACTGGTGGCAGATCTGGTGCGCCAGGCAGAGTCGCTTCTTCAAGAGCAACTGGTGACACAGGGACAGGACGGGGGAGATCCAGCCCAGCTGTTGGAGATCTTGTGTTCCCAGCTGTGCCCCCATGGGGCCCAGGCATTGACCCGGGGGCGGGAGTAAGAGACCCTCGTCCCCACTCTCAGCTTTTCTTTTTCTGACTTTTTCACACTCCTCTCCTTTATTCCATGTGCTCGCCAAACCCCCCTTGTTCTTTTGCTTCCTCTGTAGGCTTATATCTTGGGCTTTAGGTCCCAAAGTCCGAAGTTGAATTTGGAAGAGTGGGGGGTTGGGGGTCCCATTCCTCCCAGCGTCGGGGATCAGGGGTGGGCCCAGGGCTGACAGTGCTTCTCTTCCTCCCCACCCCCCCGCACCGCAACACCTCCCCAGGGCAGAGCCCTCCTAGCTCAGGTGATGGGTACACTTGGCCTTTCCTTCTGTGAGCCAGGCTGAAATCTCTAGCCATCACTGACAGCCTCTGTCTCCTTTCAGGTTCTGTCAGAAGAAGAGCCCTGGGGCCGTACGGGCGCTGCTTCCCGAGGAGACCCCGGCAGCTGTAAGTAGGGAGGAGGCCAAGAGCCCGCAGACTAGTGTCTGGTGTGGGAGAGGTGCGCCGTGGGCCGTGCGTGCGCGAGGGTGTGCGTGAGGCTGCTGGTGACAGGCAGGCCCATGGCTTGGTCCCGGCATTGGGTGCGCCTCACATGTTCATGTCATCCCCAAGCCTCCCCGGGCCCCTGACACTGCAGTTCTTCTGGGTCACAGGTTCTAAGCAGCGCAGAGAACATTGCTGTGGGGCTTGCAACAGAGAAAGCCTGTGCTTGGTTGTCAGCCAACATCACAGGTAAGGTTCGGGCCCCGGGGAGGGCTGGCCGGGTTGTTCCAAGGTGGACTGGCAGAAAGTGCGAGGCCCTTGGGGGAGATGGAACACCAGGCAGCTGGAAAGGGTGCAGGGCATGGGTTGATGTGGTGTGACCCCTTTTCTGTTCTCCCTTTGACCTGCAGCGCTGATCAGGAGAGAGGTGAAGGCGGCAGTGAGTCGCACACTTCGAGCCCAGGGTCCCGAAGCAGCTGCCCGGGGGGAGCGGAGGGGCTGCTCCCGAGCCTGTGAGCACCATGCTCCCCTCCCCTCCCACCTCATCTCCGAGATCAAAGTACACAGCTCCCCTCCTCCCTGTGCCCCTCCCCTCTGCCCTCTCCCTGCTCTTTTCCTGGTCTCCCTCCTTCCTTGCGTCCGCCGCAGTGTTTCATGTAGCCGCTTTCTGTGTTGTGCAGCTAGTCCGGTGTCCGTCATGACTGAATGGGGTTCGGTGGGGCAGAGCTGAACTGAATGGTTTTCCTCATTGCTCTTCTCGGACTTCTGGTACCTGAGTCACCCAAAAGGGGAAGAGGGCAGATGGGCAAGTTTGGGAGGGGCTGCATATTGGCGACGGGAGCCTGGTCACGAGGGGCTGTCTGGTGTTAACAGGTAGGAAAGTCTCTGAGCAGTTACCTGCTTTTGGGATCGGATTTCAGAAACGTTCTCCTCTGTGGGAGGTGATGCTTATTTAGTTACAGACGGTAAGAATAAACTACCATTGCTCTTGATCTGAAAAATTGAGAGCCTGTCTAGAGTAGGGGTCAGCAAACAGCCCAGGGGCCCAGTGCAGCCTGCCGCTGGTTAGTGTAGAGCCACACGCCACACTTGTTCACTTCTGAACCGTCTAGGGCCTTACTGTGCTGCAGCAGCGGAGTGGAGTAGTTGGGGCAGAGACGTCATGGCCTGCAGAGTCTCAACTCTTTACTGCTGGGTGGGGCTAAAGATTAGGATTAGGGCTAAGGAGGAATGACTGAAGAGGGAGAGTATCCAGGAGGGAGAAGAGAAGGCTAAGTGGCCAGTAGCTACTGGTTTTCCCTGCTGAAGCCGGACTCTCCCAAGAAGATGAACAGAGAAGCGCGCGCGAGAGAAAATCTACTGTGTATGGAGCAGGACGGCTCCCCTAAGTGTTTTCAGAGTAAGGCGCTGTCTGGGAATTGGCTAGGATCGCCTTTGTCCCAGGACGAGGGACATCTTGAGCTCTCAGGCATGGCGTCCACATGGTTGCTTCTCCCAGCTGTGCGGTCTGCCCGAGCCCCAGGTCTAAGGCACCTTGAACCCGCCACTTCATCCAGGGGCCCTGTCTTCCTTTTCCTTCTGCCTCTTTCCACTGGCTGATCCCTGCCCCAGGCCACGTTCTCTGTGGCCTCCTAGGTGCCAGCCAGGTATGCAGTCTCACTCTGCTTCCACCCCTACTGCCTCCAGGATGTGCTGTCTTTGGCTGTGGGCCCCCGGGACCCCGAGGAGGGAGTCTCTCCGGACCATCTGGAGCAGCTCCTGGGCCAGCTGGGCCAGACACTGCAGTGCCGCCAGGTGAGCCGCAGTGGGATGCTCCGCTGGGGGTCCTTGTCCGGTGCCCACGAACCAGAGCTGCAGCGGCTCGGGGCCACTGCTCTAAGGACGGTACTGATGCCCAGGGTCCCCCTGTCTCTTCCCCACAGTTCCTGTGCCCACCTGCGGAGCAGCATCTGGCGAAGTGCTCTGTGGACTTAGCATCCCTCCTTGGTATGGCTCCTTTTCATGACATCACGCTCTTGCCGGATCTCCCAGATCGCAGGGCCGGGTACAAGCAAGATTAGATACACGGAGCTTTGTTCCCTTTTTCCTCCCAGGGGCCAGCTAGGGGACCCTACCTATGTCTCTTAAAGCTGGGCTTTCTTCTCTTCCCATAGTGGCAGACCACATCCCTGTCCTCGGGCCCCCGGCCCCGCGCAGGCTAGAGAGGGGTCAGGCTCGAAGGCTCCTGCACGTGCTGCTCTCCTTGTGGAAGGACGACTTTCGGGTGCCGGTTCCGCTGCAGCTGCTGCTGAGCCCAAGGAACGTGGGGCTTCTGGCGGACACTCGGCCAAGAGAGGTGAGCCGGGGGCAGTCAGGCTCCTTAGCCCTCCGCAGTCCTGTGCTTATCCCACCGCCATGGGTGGGGTTCCTTTACTCCCCCTTTCTGGCAGCCATGCTCAGTTTCTTTTGACACGCTAGCATGGGCTCCAGGCAGCCTCTGTGGCAGTTTGCTGTCCTTTGGATCAGTCAGGGTCGCTGTACGGTCCTAGCCACCCTGACCTCCTCCGTGTGTGTTGCAGTGGGACCTGCTGCTCTTCTTGCTCCGGGAGCTGGTAGAGAAAGGGCTCATGGGACGGACAGAGATAGAGGCCTGCCTGGGTAGCCTCCGTGACGCCCAGTGGCCAAAGGTAAGGAGTCCTCATATTCTCATACCTAGCTGGAGAACAGGAGTCCTATGCCCTTTTATCCTGAAATGAGGCAAGTGATGGGGCCCAGGCATTCTTAGGATCTTCCCAAATCTGAGTGGATTTTGTCAGGTATCTTCAGGACCACCCTGAAATGGCGTGGCTGTTCTGGAGGGCGTTTTTCACATTTGAGTGGGTGTTGTATGAAAGACTGTGTCCGTGGAGGGAGGGAAGAGGGAAGGCAGGTAGTTAGTTGGAAAGCAGCGTGGCACAGTGAGCAGGAGTTTTTAAAATCAGAATAACCTAGATTTTAATCTCAGCTGGTACTTAAAGTTATTGTGATCTAGGGCGGAATGATTTATACCTCCTACGGTTTGTCAAGACGAAACATGGTGGTGGTGAAGTAGTCACTCCATGGTTGAGTCTGCTGTCAGATTTCACTCTCCCTGCTGGAACTTGAGCATCCCAGAGTACTCATGGGAAAAGGGGTCACATCCATTTCGGTGTAGAAGGCAGGTGGGAAAAAATAAGGTTGTCTACTCACTGGTTAGCTAGGGCTTGATACTGGGGATTGACTTTTAATAGAAAGGATGTACCATCCAGAATTATGTATCAGTCAGTGTTGTCTGTCATCTTTCTGCTTATTCCAGGACTTCTCCGAAGAATTAGCGACACTGTTCCACCTGTTTCTAGCTGAGCCCCACATGCCAGAACTCCAGCTAAGAGCTTGTGAGCTGGTGCAAACAAACCGGGGAACTGTGCTGGCCCAGAGCTAGGGCTGGGGAGCAGCCGTGTCTTGGGTGTCTGACCGGAACCCCGGCTGACTGACTATGCCTCAGGAGGAGGCCCCCATGCCCCCCTCTGAGTGCTCACTGCTGACCCTTGCTGAGGAAGGAGTAGTTAAGTCTGTAGTCAGGCCTCCTGCTCATGTGTGAAGGAAGTGTGGGGCTGCCTGGCATCCCACCGACTGCAGGCTCACCACCCGAGTCCTACAGGGAGGAGAGTTCACCTGATTCAGGATTATGATGGCAAAGCCTAGAGAGAGACTCCAGTCCTGGAGCAGAAGAGTTGGCATTTATTACTTGGATTATTAAATGACGTGTGGGCTTGACGACACAGGACTTGAGCCCCATTTGCTGCTACCCCACTGTCCCTTAAAACTTTGTGGTTTGGAAATCATGACAGAGGCAAATGACTTCTGCTTAACTTGTGGGTAAAGTTAACACATGAATCTTGGGAGTCGACATTTTCTTACCACCAGGAGCTGGACCGCCTGCCATCTCCTTAAAAATGCACAATACGTGAGGTGGGGCTGACCCGCCAGAAACCCAGCTTTGACCCTGCACCTTCTCTGCCTTCAGCCCTGTACAGGTACTAACTCTCAGCCATAGCTCCATCCAGGGGCCAAGCACAGGGCAGAACATTAGAGCTTTTTAAAATAAACTCTTTTCTTTATCAAGGGCTTCCTGTCTTAGTTATTTTCACCTGACCCTTTCCTTTAGCAGGCTGCAAAGTCCCAGGTGCGCTTGAAGGTGGGGACTGACAGGGTAGAGCTCTACTAATGGCCTGGCCACTTAGCAATGCCTAAATGTTCCCTCATATCAGAGCCTGGGGCCCTGTTAACTCCTTGCCAATAGTAGTGACTTCTGTACAACTCCCTCTAAGGTTAAGTTAACATGCAAAGTCTCCACTCACCAGCTACTCTCTAACAAACTAGATGGCAGGGCAGCTCTTGTTAGGCTTGTTTCGTTAGGGCTGGGGGTATGTGGTTTGGCTCAGAAGTATTCTGTGTGTCTCTAACTGATCCATTGATTTTTGACTAAAAAGCACTACCTTGATAATGTGCATGAAGTTCGCTCCTGTAAAATTCATGGTCTTTCTGCATCAGCAGCGCAGACAGAGAGGCTCAGGCTGTGCTGGAAGAAGGAGACGGTACTCCGGGAACCCTCTGGAAATGTCTTGCAAAACTCCTGTCTGTTCCTCCATGTGTACTTCCTGGGGGAAAAGTGCACAGCTGTCAAAAGAGGCCGACCCAAGGAAGCGTCAGGTTCTCTGGGCCAAGGGGGCCTGCTGCGGTACCTTAGGAAAGCTGGGGGGTAGTCCTTCCTGGGGGCCAGCAGCACAGAAGGATCCCTCCATCACCACCTGGTCCTGGCGCCTTCCCTCCCACCTCTCCTCCCAGTTGCTCCTTTCACAGGTTTTGGCACAATCGCTTCATTTTCAAAGGACTTTATCTTTGTCCTTTAAATCCATTTGATACTGTAGCAAATTCAGAAGTGCTGAATGCCTGGGAACCAAAATAGTTTCAAGGAGGGTTTTATCTGTGTGTGCCCACTAGGTGTGGCTGAATGCAAGCACCGCCCTGGGAAGCTGAGCCCCAAGGTAAGCAGCAGCCACTGCAGCTGGGCAGCTCCCCACGGATTCAGGACAGGTGGGCAGGGCCGGAGGCAAGCCCGGAGCCCCACGGATGCTGGGTTCAAGCCCACTCAGTTCAGTGTAGCACGGGCCCAATTTGGGAAACTCACCAGGGGCCTGTGTGAATCTTAAAGGCCCACTCTCTAGGCAGCAAGATAAACTTAGGAAGCACAGGCAGCTAATGAACTAGTGAACGAAACAGGTCCCTTTCTATGTATCTGCTCTCTCTACGAATTGTCTAAAACAGTGGTCTTCAAAGTGTGGTCCCCAGACCAGCAGCCTCAGAATCACCTAGGACTTCCTAGAAATACACATACGTTGGCCCCTCTCCAGATCCAGTCAGTCAGAAACTCTGGGGTATAACAAGTTCTCCAGGTGATTCTGATGAAGTCTGAGCGCCACCCATCGAAACCAAAATTTGACTTCCTCATGATCATTTAGAGCTGGGTCCCTGGACTTTCTTGAATACAATATTCCTTAGATTGCTGACTCAGGCCAGGTGTGTGGCTCTCACAGTAAGGGGATAGGGTCGCCTCTGGGCAACCCATATGTTCAGATTCCCAATGGCGGCTCTGCCCAGAAGCCCAGAGGTGCTCACCTGTTAAAGAGCTTCCTTCCAGGGGGTTGTGGTCGCCAATGCAGGGCAGTGCCTGCTCTGGTATCCTCTCTCAGGTGCATATCTGGGCTCCAGCAGGCTCCAGTTGGCCAACTGCTCGGGTTGCTGTTCACAAGCAAAGTCCTGCTGAGCTCATGGCAAGAACTCAGTATATTAGTGTGAACCATATAGCTTGAAACAGGGCCATGAGCAGTTGTTGCCATCATCATCTCATTGCCATCATCATACTGAGGCTAAATTCTGAGCTCAAATGATACAGTAGTCTTCACTAAATTAAAGGACACCACGGACTTCTAATTTGCAAGTGTTCTGACTTCTTCAATCAATAGTCTTAAGAGATTTATATGAAAAGAGATGTGAGTACATAAATAGGGTGTTAAATATACCAAAAACATTAACCAGAAAAATACATTTAAAGGCAATTTAAGGGCGCCTGGGTGGCTCAGTTGGTTAAGCGACTGCCTTCGGCTCAGGTCATGATCCTGGAGTCCCGGGATCAAGTCCCGCATCGGGCTCCCTGCTCG